CCGAATATAACTCCTTAAGGCATTTCATAAAACCAAAAAAGTGATTATTTGAAACCTCTGTTAGAAATTGTGTCTTTAACCATGTAGTGGCTTGAAAAAAATTCCTTGTCCGATATTTTTCCCCTAAGCTTCAAAGGGAATTCTTTGTCATCGACAATTTGTATACAATCCCGTTTATGCTACTGCGCTTTAATCAAACACATTTATATTATCGACAGCGCAAATCGAGAAATATTAAACGCACGAAATGAGATCCGCCGTTGTTACACAGGAGCATTCGTCAAAAAGTCATACATGAGTCATCATTACATTGAAAGATTGCCCGATATACGTATTCATTTTGCGACGCGGCGGGGAAGATGCAACATACATAACATCGGGCAGTTCCCTAATAGTAAAGGAACCACCAATAATCGTGAATTTATTATTTGTTATTGATAATTAAAAACATGTGCCAAGGAGTAAGCATTCATAATTCAGTTATGATGGTATGTGATGTAGTTCAAATTGTTATTTTGCGGTTGAGATAATCAAAGTTCTCCGTGAACCGTTATGGTTGGGATGAAATGGCAGCGTAGGTTTGGACACGCACCTATTTCATTGCTTTCAATGGATTCTTTCAAATGTCTAGAACTTTCACCAACAAACTTTTAGATGCATCATTCAATGATAAACCCTCACCATTAAATAATAATTGTTATTGATACTGAATATGAGGGAAAGTGGGATCATTTGTATTTATAGGAGTTTGAATAATAGCAGGAGAATCTTGAACAATCAATGATTGAGATAAAGGAGTTGGTGTAGTAGATTGAAATCCTGGAACCGTAGAAAGCCTTCTAAAGGGATTACTATCTACGGATATGTTTGAGTATGAAGCGGGCGGTTGATAGAGTTGCAGTTGTTGCTGGGGTTGGGCAACGGAATTCATTGAAGCAAACGGATTTGTTGGTGGAGATGGAGATGATTGGAATGGATTATATCGTTCAACCGTTGTGACTGCTGGTGCAACACTTGGTGTGCCCTGAGAAAAAATTGACGAACGAAAAGGGTTGGTATCTTGCACGGGTAAATCTTGTGATGAAAATGTAAATTGATTTATTGGGGGCACCAAAGGAATCTCATTTGTTTGATTCCGAACGGTTAGAAACGGGTTAGTGATGTTTTGATCTATCAGATCCTGAGTAACATATGGATTATGATATTGGTTGCCGAATATCGCTATTTGTTCCTGCTCAATGCTTGAGAAGAAATCAAAATTCATTTCCTTTTGTATCTTTGCTTCAACGGTGGGGGTAGATTTCGTCGTACCTGTTCGAGTCAATCGAATACAAAGTAAATAAAAAAAATGACGTCAAAAAAAAAAGGTTCAATTCCTATTTACTTCGATTTTGAGGTGCACTTTCGGAAGAATCGGAAGAATTCTCCACTCTTGAAGGTTTATTCTTCCAATCGTCCTTCAAGCGACGGTATTGTTCTCTGTTGGCCTCAAAGTCTGGATCGCGATAATAATCCTCAAGAGTTTCCGTGAGCGAGACGTTTGCCTAAAAAGTATTGAATCATTAATAATCTAAAGAGTCCATTAGCGAGCAAATGAAATGATCCCCATGTATACTTGCATGTTTTAAATTGGGTATTTTCATTCCATACAAATCTCTGGCTACCTCAAAAAACTCAACAACCTTTCCCGTCTGCTTAACAAATGTTTTGTAAATATGTAAAGCAGTGTTTGCATCTATCTTTGACATTTCCATAAAATGTTCTAGATAATAAAGGCAAACACGTTGTAAGTCGATGAGATCCTATGATGAGCAAAGCATGATGTATTTATAACCACCTAGAACATTAATCACACCCTCGTTAAGTGCTTGAAAAAGATCTAGCAAATCGTTCACAAGGAGTTTGAACGCACATATCGTTACTTCGTTGGATGACTCATTAAACAAACACTACGTCAAATGTAATTTAAAGTTGATGGTTCAACTTTATAGTAAACAGTACTTGGAATAGATAATAATTGTTTAAACACAAACCTTGCAACTCAATAAGGCGCCCAGTTGTTTTTGCACTAATTTAACTTCACGAAGAAGACCTTTGGCAACAGTGAGATTTCGCAAGCGACTAATACCAGATCTAGGCATGGCATAATCTATCTTCAAATCTCGGTAAATAGACACGCTTTCTTCAAGGTATGTAGCATACGAGTGAATGTTTTTAGCTTGTTCCAATGCTGGAGAACGACAAACGTTTAGATTAGAATTACGTTGTAGAATAGAAATCCGATGTATTTACAAACCGTGGAATCCGGTTCTAAGGCCTGGGATTTCTAGAATGGTTGGTTCCCTCGCCAAAGCTTTTAAGACACGAGTGGACGCGCCCTCTTTCATCAAGAGATGTAACACGATGAGGCTTTTGAAAACTACCTTTTAAAACGATAAGTCTTGTAAGGTCAAGTGGTGATCGAAGAGAATTTTGTGTGGTAGCTCAACTTACCGTCCAAGTTTGTTCCCGTAATCTTTGATTGAGATATCTCAGGATCGTTTCAAGATCTTTTTCGTTCGCTGTTGCTGGAATAAGGACTAGAAGAATGAAGAAAGAAAAGAAACCGCATTTGAATATAGACGCTCTCCTACAACTTTAGTACTTTGGATCGAAATGATGGATAAAATACCCTTCACATATTTTTGTTTTGGAGGAGCTCGTTTAGGTTTTGTGGCTCCGCGAATCGCTTTTTCCATTTTCTTCGTTTAGATCTCGGTTGTCAAAAAGGCTATTCGACGATACGGTTTCTTTTTTCTAGTTTCCGTGTCACATGATGGTGACGTCTTTTGATTGTTGTGCATGCAAAATTCGTTTTTCCCCAAACGTTTGAAAATAAAGAAATTTGTCACGAGGTGAAACCAATATCGTTGTAAACATCACATACGCCTACTACCTATGTACTGTACGTAACGTATTTTTCCTTTGTAGACCACATGTCTAACACAATGAACTCATGGTGGTAATTTATACTTTCATAATCTATATCATAATTTGAGTACGCTGATTGACTGTTGATATGCCTCAGTTTTTGATTCGACGAGCATACTTTCGTGGGCCTTCAATCAACTAAAAATACGTGAGTGCTCTAAATTTCCCTCCCCCCTTGGCTCATCACTGGGCATTTAATTTAAGTTTTTAAGATATTTCGGAGACGAAGAAATTTCTCATTTAAAATAGAACTCTAACCATTATCTTTTTTATCTGCACCCTTTTCAAAAGTTCTGAACTTGCTAACTTCGCAGGTTTATGTAGGTTCAACCTAACAACGCCTATTGATAACTGTATTTTTTTTTCTTTAACAAGAGAAACTTTTTTCCTTCTTCTTCACCGTTCGTCGTATTTAAGAAGTGAAAAGGCAATTAAAATATTCTCATCCCTAGTGATAGAAGTTTCGTTCTTAAACCTCTTGACAGTAATAAAGTTTATCCGGTGGAATTTTAAAACGTCTACGATTCCGTCCAGCTCGTAAATATTTTGCACGTATTACATACGTGATGTCGCCAACTCAAGCTATTCATTTACCAAGTCCGCGCCAGATTTTAAATGAAAATTACGAGCAAGCATCGTCCACCAATTCTCTAACTTATCATAACAACGGGTCTGGTACCTCGACTATTTTTACCAACACAAACAATAATCACTCTACGACCCAGAGTAAGTATCAGAACTACTACACCTTCCATGGTTTTCTAGTGATCATGCTGAAAGCACGCAGATAGAAACAAGGATTTTTCCTGATGCACAAGTAAGAACAGGAAAGCCGGAACTGTCTGATATAGCAATAACCCAATTTTTAATTAGAATTTATTGTCAATCAAATCACGATCATTAGTTAAAAGCCCATTCTAATCAATTATCTAAATGCAAAGACTCCCAATACATAGTGCCCAAGCCCGCTCTAAATCGACCTCATTCACCCTCACCTTTGTCGATGGAATCTCCGATGTCGGAGTCAAAATACTCATTTCCT